TATAATCAACTTATAGAAATTTCAAATTTCAAATGTAAGCTGGAAGCTTGTTCATTTATAATTTTTTATATAATAAAAAAATAAAAAAATAAAATATTAATTTAAATAGTTCAGATTTAATTAGGGCAGACGCTTTTTCGAGAACTTGGAAGGAGCAAAGGCCAAGTCCGTCATAAAGAAGAGGTGGTAAATACTCATTTGGAAATTAAATTACAAGTGGAGCGTTTGGAGTGACTACGTCATAGGTAATAAGCCGTTTGCTGGCCGAAAGTTAAGCAAGTTGCTTTGTTTAATATTTATGACTGGGCATTTCAACATGGAACAAATGATGAATGATTGGCATTGCTAATTAGTAAGAAATTGAATTAATCACTGCTATTTGAATCGACCAACTAAATATTAGCCCCCAGAAAAATATTGACCAGGTTATGATTTTTTTGTTGTTGTTGTTATTATTAAATTTACAACCAAAGCTGTGGTGGCTTTTACGCAGCTGATAAAGCTTCCCGCCAATAAACTGACACATCGAGCTTCAGTTTATCCCCTGAATCATTTAGACATTTACTATAAATACTTATTCTATAAGGAAAAAAATTCATATAACGGGTGCTCCTGTGTAACTAGTCATTGTCTAATTTTTTTTCCAGTGATTACGTTTCCATTTATGTCTCAAATAATAACCTTCGAACATATAATTTTTTCAAAAAATTTTACTTATACATATTAGATGAATTCATTTATATTGAAAGTTGTTTTAAATATTTTAGAGTATAAATTCTACTTTTTATGATTCTTAGAAAAAATAATGCTTTGGCTGTTTGCAAACAATGAAGTACATACAACGGAGCTTAAATCAAAACAGGGATTGGATGGTTCCAACCTATGTCCCCTTGGATGTAGAGGCATGGAAGATGAGATGCACTTATTCAGATTTCAGAGATTGTCCACATGTAGGGGAGCGCTGGAGGAGGCTTGTTAAACCTAAGCTTTGGAACCAATTCAAACAACTAACTAGAAAACAATGGATTCCTTGAAACTTCAAAAAAGCTATAGGGAAAAGTATTAGGAACCAAGTCCCATGGAGTGTGCTTTTTGGCTACGTGTGTTAGGATACTCAGAGAGAAAGCTGTAAAAAAGCCCCCTCAGATGAAGACTGAGAGATTTGAGTTGGGTGTTGCATGCTTATAGAGTGAAATATGATTTGAAGCTGACCAAGTTGTCACATTCTCTTAGGAAGCAAGTGGAGATACCTCTAAAATGTTGGGTTAGACTTAGAATGGGTATTGTTAGATTGGATGTTGACAGCTCTGTGAGAAATGAATTTAGTAAATATGAAAGTATGGTTAGAGAGTGTGATGTTAATTGGGTATATAGTTTTAACATTTGTGTTGGTCATTATCCGATTGTTGTGATTGAACTTTTGGCTATTGCTCATAATCTTCTTTTGTGCTGGGAGAAAGGGATGCAAATACTAGTGTTTTCACTTACTGTGCAAATGCTCTAAATTTGCTTTTTTGTTGAAACAATGATCAACATCCCTTTTTAGATATTATTTCCTAGGCTCAAATGCTTCTCTGTAGGGACTAGGTTATTTCTTTGAATCTTATATATAAGTAAGTCAATTACTATGCTCATTTTTTGGCTAAGCATGCTTGTAATAAAATAGGTGTAATCCATACTTTTAATCAATCACTATCTTTTTGTGTAGAGGTGGTGGATAATGAAAAGAAATTATCTAATTAGGCTAGTTTAGAGTTTTGTTGCCTTGTTTCTCTTTGTAATTCAAAAAAAAAAATTAAAAAAAACTATTAAAGTACATTGAGATACTTTTTATCAGATGTAATATTATTGATAATATTTACAAGGATTGCTATTATCCAGATAAAGTTTTCAAACTTAAAATTGTCCATATGAAATGGACTAGACTTTAAGATATATTCCATCGGTCCGCCCATATATGTATAAGATATTTTTAATTAATAAAAGTTTGTTATTTAGTCAAAAGTATGTAAACCCATGGTAATTTTCTAATTTTGCCCCTAACAATTTCATAATCAATATCAAGGTGATATGTAAACACATATAATTAATATTTCTTCTCCTTTCCAAAATAATGAGGATACAATTATCTAATTACTTGAAATTATCATGATATTCTTTATATTTAAGAACAAACCAAGCTTTTAGAAAATATTTTATACACAAGACGGAGGGGGTATTAAATTGGTTGTACTGTTAATTAAAACTGAGATGTTAAATTAACTAGTGTCAATGCGGGTAATAGAAATTCTCATTAATTAAATTAGTGATTGAGATTCAAATCTTAATCCTTAGTTCTCACTACGGTGGGGGAAAAAAAACTAAATTATGGCTTTGGTGGAGCCTTACTCCACACAAAAAAGAGAGAGGTAAAACTAATGTTACTAGATTATAAATTTTTATGTTATTTTGATATCTCAAAGTCAAAATACTGTGAAATACGTTATGATATATTCATTCCGTCTTAATTATAAAACATTTTAAAAAAAGTTTTAATATCTGAAAATATAAGACAAATTAAAAAAATAAAGTCTTATTAATAATATTTTTTTATACCTTTCCTGTCTATCCTCTTTCTTTGATATTTTTCTGTAAATGGAGTATTAGATAAATGATAATTTTAAAAATTTATATTTTTGTTTAAAAAATTGTAAAGTTATTAGTATATGTGATTTTGTTCATAAGTATCTTTGTGGTAGAGAATATTAAGCCATCAATTTTCAGGGCTTGGACCGTCTATATTAAATGCTTTCCCTTGCAAAGAAGAAGAATCTAAAACGCTAGCAATAGGTAATGTCTATTTCTTCTTCTACTTTAATATCCATTTCCATCTCAACATAACGAATTTATGATGTCTAAGTTCTAACCCAGAAAATGGATAGCCTTCGTTTGTTATGAAATTGGAATAATATTAACCCAAAACATGCCTTGCATATATACATAGTTTTTTTTTTAATTTACTAGCAATGAGGGATGATATACTGATTATTGAAAATTGAGATGGGAATCGTTGTCAAAATTAAATTAAATCTCCTACAATTGTCTGTAAAAAACACATTTGAATATTTAGTGTCACTGTTCAACTTTTGACCTGGTTATAAGTTTTTAATTTATACTATTACATTATGATTATAAAAAAAAGTTAATATGTCAATATTCATAATATAAAATCTGTAAACAGCAGCACAGTCATCTATATATATATATATATATAAATTTAAATATTTCTATATTTCTGAGTGAAAAAGGTTAGATTATTATTTAACTTGGAGGCAATAAAAAACAATAAATAATAAATACATTCTTATTTTTCTAGTAAGCATGAGGAATAAGCTCCACTAATCCTAAAATTATCCGCTTGGTAAAAACCCTACCACTCATGTTAATTTTAATTAACACATTCCCATCTTCTATCATATTTTATTTAGGATAAATTAACCTATACTAGCCAAAAAAAACTTGTGTCCAAAAAGTACGGATTAAGTTTTTGAAATTTTGAGAGTATGAATGATTTATATTGATAAATATATAATGGTATGTCATCGATAAATATAATAAATTGGTTATAATATAAAATATAACAAACGTTGGACTATTTGCTTGATTAGATCTTATAATATGAATTATATCTGCAAAAGTCCCTTTTATTTAAGCTATCTTCTAATGAATTTGAACTCTCTCTACAGCCTTTCTCAATAATTGCTTGCCTCCATGCTCAATTACGTCCGTCCATTTAATTATTTATTTGATATGATGGTGTGAGATTGATAATCATTACATTAAAATAAATATATCATTTATTTAATAGCTACATAAAGGGGCATTGTGATTTTATTTTTAAGAGCATTTAATTGATAATAAAAAATAATTAAGAATTTTAATGTTATAATCGACAATTTTACCCCATGAAACCAACTAAATAATTAAAACAGATGGATGTTATTAAGTATAAAAAGATGTACTGAGAGAGGGCACGAAGAATATCCAAATTTGTCTTTTAATGTATATTTATGTGGATGATATTAAATTCTAGTAATAAAAAATGGTAATTTGATCATATGAAATGTGATGATACTTTTTAGATCTTAAAAGACTTGATTGTCAATAAAATTTATGACAAAATGATAAGAATATCACTTAATTTTGAAAGTGCAACAAAAGGTTTTTCTCCCTCACAATTTTAGTTTTGAAATTTATAATCCTAGTTTTACAAATGATTAAAGTGGTTTAGATATTTATAACTTTTTCTCATCATTTTTCTTTAAACAATAAAGTGTAACAAAGTAAGAAAAATGATGTAACATAGCTGTGAAAGCCTAAATTACTTTAATCACTGACTAAATCATATTGTGATTCCAAAAAAAAAAATTGTGAGTGAAAAAAACTTTATTATACTTTGCTAATTAAAAAAATATGGTGAAAGAAAGTTGTGAACGTCAAAATCACTATACTCATTTATTGAATTAAAGCTGTGAATTTTTAAAATAAAACCATGAATAAAAAAAATTTATTACATTTTATTAACTAAAAAAATGGTGAGAAAAAGATTTGAATGTTTAAATTGTTTTAATCATTTATTAAGTTAGAGTTATAAATTTTAAAATTAAAGTTGTGTAGGAAAATTTTTTTGTCACACTTTCTTAAATTAAGGGATAGTTTTATCTTTTTATCAAATTTTTTAATGATAATCAATTCTCTTGATATTTAGAACGTAGTTATATCTCACAAAACCAAATTATTATTTATTGAAGGAATTTGTTTGTCATTCTTTCAAAAATAAATGAATCCTCTCAAAACATAAGAATTTATTATTTTTTTATTTTTAAAAGCAGGGGTAATTATCTCAACCTGAGGAGGGCCATATCGTCAGTTTAGGGCAAGAGTCTTCTAACCAGCAGGGCACATACAGATAAAAGCCACACCCTACGCAGCGGTGTACTCACCATTCATCTTCGGTACATTACATAACGTCCAGACTTCGAATCTCCTTTCTGTTAAATTCTTAAAATATTATGCTATGAGAGAAAAGGCTCTGACTCCCTAACTGAAACTCGCTCACCTGCTCTCACTCTAGCGTTATGGAGAGACATATGCTACCAAGAGCTCCCGGCGTCCCTTGGATGGAAGAAGTTGAAGACGCAGCATCTTGGACCAGGACTAACAACGAAGGTGAGTCCAAGGACCAGGACATTGCTTTGGGAGGTCCACTAACGTCCTTCAAATCCATGCTTCAAAGTGAATGGTACATGGATTCTGCTATCAATTCATCTCATCAAGACCTCCCTGGTCTCCCAGTTCACCAAGAAACCAGAGATATTGGTTTTTGTTCGAATCCAGCTGATAGTTTCCTGTTGCTGCCTATAGATTCATCTTCTTGTTCACCTTCATTCACTACCGACCCGGCGCAGCCACAGCCATTTTTACCACCCAAATCGTGCTTCCCTTCTTTCTTCAACGCTGTTTGCAACAACCCTTTCGAGAATAATGGCTTCGATTTGGGCTCTGAAAGTGGGTTTCTCGGTCACTTCCAGGGAAATCAAACTTCAAGTTCCCATGTCCTGATGGGGTTTTCGGGTTTGGATACTCAACCACAGATGGGCAACCTCGAGCTCAGTTCAAGCACTGAATTCCCAGCAGGTCGGCTGTTGCCTGCTGCTGACAATGGCGTCGCACTTGATGGCGGATTTAGTCCGATGGGTTTAGAAATATACGATGGTTCCGGAAATGCTCTGTTTTCTGACAAGACTAAGGTTTTAAGACCACTTGATGTTTTCCCTCCAGTTGGTGCACAACCCACTCTCTTTCAGAAACGAGCCGCGCTTCGCCAAACCTCTGGCGGAGCTGATAAATTGGGCGGTTTAGAGATTTCGCCATCTAGATTCAATGATTATTCAAACGTGGAGAAAAAGAGGAAGACAGAAGAGGGCGAAATCGAAGAAGCCAGCATAGATGCGTCTGGATTGAATTATGATTCTGATGAGCTTAATGAGAATAATAAGGCGGAGGAGAATGGGAATAACGGCGGAAGCAATTCTAATGCAAATAGTACTGTTACAGGTGGAGATCAGAAGGGGAAGAAGAAGGGATTACCTGCAAAAAATCTCATGGCCGAGAGAAGGCGCAGGAAGAAACTAAATGATAGGTTATATATGCTTCGATCGGTCGTGCCGAAGATTAGTAAGGTATCAAAACTTGATCGTGCATTTTCTTCTAATAAAAATATTTTAAAGCAAGTTAATAGTTGCTCTACGTTTCCCCCACTTTGTGGTGGACATCAATTTATATCATTATTACTCTGATTTGTCCTGAACGATTTAAATAGCTATACTTAGAACTATGCATTTTTTGATTATTTCGACGGCTTTAATAAACTTATGCCTAGCGGAGCAAATACTTGAATTTAAAAATTATTAAGGACGTAGACGGCTTTTACCTCCTTATTTCCCAGAAAAATCATCTACAGAAGTTTGAAGCGTGTTTAGTTCGTGCAATGAGAAATGACGCGTGATCTCTTTTGTTCGAGGAACCTGATGAGTTCTTGAACTGGAAGTTCAATCTCTCACCTTCTTCCATTTATTCACAGATGGATAGGGCTTCCATACTAGGGGATGCAATTGACTACTTGAAGGAGCTGCTGCAGCGGATCAACGATCTTCATAATGAGCTGGAGTCAACTCCTGGTTCTCTGCCACCACCTTCTACAAACTTCAACCCTTTGACGCCCTCTCTCCCAACCCTTCCCTGCAGGGTCAAGGAAGAACTTTGCCCTAACTCTTTGCCGAGCCCTAAGAACCAACCTTCACGAGTAATTATTTTTTTGTTCACATCCAATTGATGTTGTTATTCTTCACTTTTTTAGTGTGGTAGCTTTTTGTTCGCAGAGAATGTTGATAATGCGCAGTTGATGCTACTCTCCATTTTTAGTTCCATCACCTAACTAACATGTACAGGGATGATTAGTTGGTGATGGTCTAGACCACTGGATTTGATTGGATATCTACATTTATCAGCAAAGTCTGCATATTTCATGAATTTAAATTTTATTCTGGGGCTAATATAGAGATTATAAAATTCAGCCTTTGCTAATTTTTGCTACACTGCTGCATATTACGTTTTAAAAACTTGCAAAATTTAATTGCCAGTTGCCAAAGCACAAACAATGTGGTTTTTTGTTTTTTGAAAATCAAACATGATCTGATGACCTGTTGCGTGAGTCAATTTCTTTCAAAGTCCTTCTATCTGGCAAATAAACGATGAAGCTCACCTACACCTTGTCGAGAGAATTTTTTTCCCCTTTTGAATTTTAAATTTTCAAACAAAATTGCTAGACGATGTGGCCATGTCTAGACTGTACGATCCCTAGTTTTATTAGTGCATCACCGAGTGACATTGGGAAGGATTTATCTGTTTGCAGAGTGCATTTGTGAGACAGTTGAAGAAATTGCTTTGACCTGTGTTTTTGAATTTATAGGTGGAGGTTAGGTTAAGGGAAGGGAGAGCTGTGAACATCCATATGTTCTGTGCCCGCAGACCAGGTCTTCTTCTTACCACCTTGAAGGCTTTGGACAGCCTTGGACTGGACATTCAGCAGGCTGTTATCAGCTGTTTCAATGGCTTTGCTTTAGATGTGTTCCGAGCTGAGGTATATTTTATTTCTTTCTTCAATGTCAATCTTCGTAGCAATATTTTGCATTTCTAAATTTTCCTATAATATGATCTATGGACTTTTGGTATCTGGGGCTTACGTCATGCCATAATGTACGTTGCATATTGGTGTCTTCCCAAATTCGACTCACAATTTTCCAGATTATGTAGAGAGGTTCTCGCCCCTAAAAAATCCGGAGGGGTATAAAATTTATAGGAAGTTTTGGATGGGTTGAGATGAAGTGAAAGAAAGATGCATGGAGAATTAAGACACGAGCTTGACATCTGAGTTTAAGAACCCAGCCTTGTCAAACTACTCGATGCCTAACAGAAGAATCTCAATGCCTATTACAATCTACAGGACAGTTGACAGGTTTCTCTTGTGACCTTTTGAATGACAAGCTTATTGAGCCAAACCATAAGCCCTAGCGGTCTTCATTTCTCTGTAGCTTCCCTTCCCTTTGTTTGGCTTGAACCAAAGCATTGGGCCTTGCTTCTTTTGCCCAAAAGTCAATGGTTGATGAAAATTAAAACCAGTAAGAATTGTTGTTACTGGTAGTTACAGAAGAAATTTTGGGAGGATCCTCGTGAAGCATCTGAACAAGTCATTTGTTGCTGTTAATAAACAAATGGTACTCCAAATAGTTAATAGTAAAGACTCAGGCTTATCAATTAACAGCTTAATATATCAACATACTATCAGGTGTTGTTTATAATTCTTCTTTCTTTCTTGTCTAAAACCAGCAATGCAGGGAAGGCCAGGACGTAGCCCCCGAGCAAATTAAAGCAGTCTTGTTGGATTCAGCGGGTTGCCATGGAATGGTGTGAGTGAAACTCATGAAACTACGAAAGATTGTGTACTCTTGCCAGCAGAGGAATCAACTGTGTTGCGAAACTCTTTTAAGTAGTTCGTAAGTGACGGGTCTTGGCCGCCACCAATGTGAAGGCCCATATCGGATGGTCTGGCTAATACATCTGTTGTAGGTCGAGCAGATAGCTTCAGCGTTCTTCTCAATTATGCTTTCGAGCGGGGCAGACTTGTGCCTTTGTCTTGAAGACTTGTGGAATAACCTCTTTTGTTTCCTAAATATTTTTCATTGAGGTCCTTTATTCTCTCCCTCTATGCCCAATTATTATTCAATTTTGAACTTCATGCGCTATGGATCTGCTTAGTCCGTGAAAGCCGAATAATTTATCAGGCGTCTGGTTAGTATATCTGTTATTGTCAAAGAGTTTAATAACAAAAATGTTGTGAACTCTATTTCAATCTCGTCATTGATGGGACATGATTGAAACAATTTAATGGGGAAATACTAAAACGGTCAAGTATTAAAATTTGCATGCCTCTCTGGTCTTTAACGTAGGGGGAGGAAGGAAAAATAATAATAATGAATAGGAAGACCATTCTATGTATCAACAATATTTTAATGTAATAGAAAAGGGAGAATTTTAGTAAAGAACTCGCGCGCGTATGTGTGTGGTTTAATTTTAAATCAAAATTAATAGAATATGAAAATATACTATATGATTAAGGAATTGAGTTAAAAATATGTTTTGATTGGAAATGATCAAAATATCAATATGAAATAAACTTGTTAAAACTCTAACCCGTCATTTTATAAAGGGAAAAATATTACTTTGGATTACTGAACTTTGTTTGAGTTTTGATATAAGTTTCTGTATTTTTTTAAGTGTTCCATGCTCTTGTATTTTATTCTGTTTGCAACATTAATGTGGCACAAATAATGTTAATAATGTTGACATGTTAATTTTATTTTTATGTGTCAAATTGATGTTGATATACAATTTCTAATGCGCAAAAATAAAAAAAAAGCCTGGATGAAATTTGTGTATTTTGATGATCATTTAAAAAGTTTAAAGTTAGTCTTTTTATTTCATTTGATAGAGGCTCTTTTTTTTTTAAAAAAGAAAATTCTTATTAAAAAATTTCATATTAGCATTGAGCACAAAATTAACGGCATCAATTCACATGTTAGCATTATGAACACTATTTATGTCACGTCAACATTCTTTTAAAAATATAAGAATTAATATTGTAGATGGAAGAAAGTGTGAGGATCTAGAACATTAAAAATAAAATACAGGGACCTATGTTAAAACCCAAGCAAAATGAAGGGACCAAAAGTAGTGTTCTTTTCTTTAATAAATGTATACTTATTAATTCATTAGTGGAATTTGTTAACAATATATCATACTCTCTCTATTAAAAAATATAAGATATTTTTTGAGGAGTTGGATGTTAAAACATGTAAGATATTTTTAATCTTTTGAAGTGTAATCATTGTATTTTTTATACAAATTTCTCTATTGATGAATGACTTTATATTTATTATGGGGTGTTTAATAGGAGTAAATATGAAAAAATAGGGTTAATTTAAAAGTATGTAACTAATTTATTAAAAGATGAGATACGATTAAAAATACCTTATATTTTTAAATGAATAAGGTATATATTTAATCTTATGGACTTGGTATAATATGATTATGGAGTGTATTTGTTAAAACTCTAATATAAATTATCATGTAAGTGATACTTATAGGTGTGAAAACTTGTTAAAAAAAACTTCTAAATTATAACATGAAATAAATTTTTTAATATCTTAATTTAATTTGTCATTTTACTGATGTATACTTGTTAATTCACCAATTAGATTTGTTAATATGAGTAAAAAGAGTTCTCGTTATTAAGTCAATGGTTGGGCGTTGGAATCCGAGCTCTTCTTTTTGTGGCAATTTAACTGGGGAGATCTACCTTTTTACTTTCTGCACCTGGTGGAAATAATTTCATACTTAATACTTTTGCCACGTTAAAATATAAAGTAGGCTTGTTAAGGCGGTGACATATATTTATATAAAAAAAACGGGCATTTTAATAATTTTATCAAAATATATTTTTAGTTTAACTTTTTAATTACCATATATTTAAATTAAATTTTATTGATCCTGATATAAAAATGAACCCCTCGCTGAAATTCTCCCTAAAATTTATTACACTAACCAAACGAGATTTTCGCAGTTTGATTCCGGATTCAACTGAATCTTCGGGAGGTCCTTCTAGCCGAAACAGAAGGCGCACCAAAACAAGACACGTTTTGGCATTTTCCTGTGGGACTTTCAGCCGCGGAGAGCCGCCGTAGTGGAACCTTTTTCTTCCTGCCATTCCTTCAGCGTTTGGAGGCACCCGTTCCAAATTGAAGGGACAGTACAGCTTCTTCTTCTCTCTTCGAAGGAATCTCATTGGACCGAAAACCTGACGCTTGCTCATTTTTCTACATTTGGAGCTTATCTTAAAGAAACCACCTCTGCATCTTCACCTTCTAAAGCTCCTTCTGACAAGGTATACTCTTTTCAATTTCCCTTGGTCCTTAGTTTTTGGGTCCATATTGGGATATCTCTAGCTTCAATGAGGGGATATAAAGTTAAATATATATATATATATATATATATAAAGTTCTTACAATTATCACGAGATATCTCATATCCATCACGATACTGTCACTCGATTAAGTAATGGATAATTTGCAGATCGAGTTTTAGGAAGTTGAAGCGGTTGACTGATGATTGATCCCGATCTCGAACTCTGAGAGTTCTTTTTGCATCTGACTTATTTGTCGAAACAACTTATTGGGATACGCCAATTATAAGCACATTGCCTTGCTTCCCACTTGTCAAGGATGGCTAGCGTGTTGCAGTTTAATGTTATTATAAATACCTTCCCTGTGACTAAGTGGAGAAGTTTGCAGAACCAGCCGCTGTTGTCCCAAAGAATTGGTTTTGCAGCATCGGTTGCTTCTGTTTCTGGTTTATGTTGCAAAGGAAGTTTTACAAGTAGAAAGGTGGCATTCAGTGTCAGCTGCAAGGCAGTAGACAGTGATATACTTGAGCAGACTGAAGATGAAAATGGAGGCCTTAGTGGAACTGAGAAACCATTCACCTGCGTCATGAAGTTTGGTGGCTCATCGGTGGCTACTGCTGAGAGGATGAGAGAGGTTTCTAGCCTTATACTGAGCTTTCCAGAAGAAAGACCTATAATTGTTCTCTCTGCGATGGGAAAGACAACCAACAAACTTTTATTGGTACTCTTTTCCATTTTGCTTCACGTCATCTCCTTTCTGCTTATCAAGAAACATTAAGAAAGAAATGATTTTTTTTTCCCCTCTTGGTAGGCTGGAGAGAAAGCTGTAAGTTGTGGGGTTACAAATGCCTCTAGTATTGATGAACTTAATTTTATTAAAGATCTCCATATCAGGCAAGAGCCATGATTTTTCTTTTGGCCTTTCCATGTGTGATAAAAGTGTTAAGAACCAAAGCTCATTTTCATTGCATGCTCTTATTTTATTTAGGACCGCTGATGAGCTTGGAGTGGACAAGTCTGTTATTGCAAGTGAGTTACCTTCTTCCATGCTGAATCAATTATTGATTTGTTTGCATAATTTGAATATACAATTATTATTCTTAATTAAATTCTCATATGAGACCAATTTCACAGAAAAATTCTGTCCATGTATTTAAGTGCTGCATACGTCGTGCTTGTTAATTTATGCTGTTTGTTTGATTGCAATCGTCTTTGTTGAGAATTATGTTATTGGCATTCAAGACCATGTGAATGTAACCTGAAGCAGTTTGTATTAATAAAGAACTTCTCTCTTGTATGACTTTGAAACTCAAGATGCCAAGTGAGCTTAATGTAGGTAGCAGCCCTGATTTTATTTGTCCTTAGGGCTAGCTGTTATCTTCTATACCTGAAGCTGCCGTTAAACTGCTTATGCATATCTTTGCATGGTTAAATGAGACTGTAAAATTGGCCTTCACAAGACTATGTAGAAAATTTCATGCCTAATACCAGTAACTGTTATTTATGTCACAGAAGAATATATGCATATTACAGTTTGAGCTTGTTATGAATGTTAAACACCACATGATAAAGTAATTGTTCATTACTTAAATTTAGAAGAATGAATTTCATTTCTATGGATGATAGGGGATCATAAATTAATTATGTTTATGCATTGTGGGTGGAATTGATCATATGTTGATGTTTGTTGATTAAGAATAATTTTATTTTAACTCTTACTCTCCATTGATGATGAGCAATTGCATATATTAGACTGCAGCCACTACATGTTTTACAAATATTTTTGGTTTGTTGATTTTATTTAGTAACTCATTTCAGAATATACAGCTGATCAATTAATCCCTAAACTCTTAGTTTTGGTTTTTATTGTGATTCTAATCCTCATGCATTGTCACTGTGTTCTAATAATATATAACTGTTTCAAGTTATTCAATTTCATGTTGTCAATTGATGGATTGAACTTATTCTACCATGTTTTTCTTTCTCTTTTGTCATTATGGCTATTCAATATATTTTGCATGTTCCTACTGAGATCTGTTGAAAAAACTTCCAGAGCATCTAGAAGAATTAGAGCAACTTCTGAAGGGGATTTCCATGATGAAAGAATTGACTCCAAGAACTCAAGACTATCTAGTTTCATTTGGAGAGTGCATGTCTACTAGGATCTTTGCTGCCTATCTTAATAAGATAGGTGTTAAGGCTCGTCAAGTATGTTTTCCTATTTTGCTAACGAAGATTGTCCAGCTCAGTGTGTGTGTGTGTGTGTGTGTGTGTTCTCTATTTGTACCCTGTGACAATTGTTTTTTTCTTGCTAATTTTATGTATGGCAGTATGATGCATTCGAGGTAGGTTTTATAACAACTGATGACTTCACAAATGCGGACATTCTGGAAGCAACTTATCCAGCTGTTGCAAAGAGGTTACATGGTGATTGGGTTTCAGATCCTGCAATTCCAATCATTACAGGCTTTCTTGGAAAGGTCTTTATGATAAATACTTTTCCAACCTTTATTCCTTATGTATTTTTTCCAAATTTTGACTTTATTAAAATGTGTATTCTCAAATCAACAAAATGGGGCGACTCTTACTTATTCTTGCAGGCACGGAAATCATGTGCAGTGACAACACTGGGAAGAGGGGGCAGTGATTTGACTGCTACAACAATTGGGAAAGCGCTAGGGTTGCCAGAGATACAGGTTAGTATGTAAACAAGACACCTAATTATTGGTATAAAATGCTAGTCAGTAGACAACCTTTGCATGTGGAATGGCATTTGTTTGTTGATGAAATGAATTAAATAGTAGAGAAAGCAAAGGACTGACTTCAAAGTTTATGAATTATTAGAATTATTCACTGCAACATTTTCTGCATTGTAACCATGAAATGAGGCCAAAAAAGAAGCAAATTAATTCAATCCTCTGGACAGGTATGGAAAGATGTTGATGGTGTTCTAACCTGTGATCCAAATATATGCCCTCAAGCAGAACCTGTGCCATTTTTGACATTCGATGAGGCTGCAGAACTTGCTTACTTTGGTGCTCAGGTATCTTCATAATCACTTGCATAGTTTATGGATAACGCACAATAGCCATCCAGGCTTACAATTTTAAAATTTTACCTTGCATTTTTTGTTCTGGTTTAGTGTTGAACCAATTCTTCTCTTTGCCTTACTATGAACTGCTTGAGTGATGTTCAATTGCAGCTTGTCATGCCATCCTGCACATTTTACTGTTGTTCAAATCAAAACGGAACTTCATAGGAGCATGGGATTGATGCCTCACCTGCTGAAAATTGTTGAAATGAGATCTCTGTTTTCTGCAGGATGCTTTTGATTGCCTTATTTACCACTGATTTCACCCCAAATTGTTAAAAGACTCTTTCAGGCCTTCACTTGGTTCTTCAAATAATCTCAGATTGATATTGTTGAGAAGCTTGGTTAACTCAATCTTTCTGTCTTATACTCTTTTTTTTTTTTTTTTTTTTTATAAAGCTTGGTGTCAGGGATGTTATCACCCTTAATGCTGTTGTGAGCAACTTGGCTGTTAGATGTCTGATTGACTGGACTTTGGCCATGGGATATAAGAGTGTTATTGTCAAAGGTGATTTATAATTATCTCTCTGGTGGTCCTCTTTCAGGTCCTGCATCCACAGTCTATGAGACCTGCTAGGGAAAGTGACATTCCAGTTAGGGTTAAAAATTCTTATAATCCTAAAGCTCCGGGCACTCTCATTGCAAAGACAAGAGATATGAGCAAGGTTTTCTATCAACTGATCCTGTTATTTATAATGAATACCATTTTGTTATGGGAAACTATGGATGTTAAGTGTTCCTTTTTTGCACCTTCAGGCAGTATTAACTAGCATTGTTCTGAAACGTAATGTGACCATGTTGGATATTGTAAGCACCCGCATGCTCGGTCAATTTGGCTTTCTTGCTAAGGTGAGAAAAGTAACGCCTGACAAGCATGTTCTTGTGATTAATTCCTGCTCAGTCTTCATACTTCCATATTTGGTCAGGTCTTTTCAATCTTTGAAGATTTAGGCATATCAGTAGATGTTGTAGCTACTAGTGAAGTCAGTATTTCCTTGACATTGGATCCGTCAAAATTATGGAGCAGAGAACTAATTCAGCAGGCAAGTGTAATACTTTATGTCCTCTTTGTAATTTTATTAATGTTTAATTAATTTATTAGCTTGGTGTTTGGAGTTTCCTTTCTTCAACTATGCATGATGATCTTATCTATCTGCTTGAAATCTTCTGTTTTTCACTTAAATACAAGCTTGCTTAATGGACTTTCTGTATTTCTGCCACTGTATTTGGCTGTCATAATTTATCGCTTTTGAGCAGGAACTTGACTTTGTTGTTGAAGAATTGGAGAAAATCGCTGTGGTGAATCTCCTACAGAACAGATCTATCATCTCTCTTATTGGAAATGTTCAGAGATCATCACTGATATTGGAGAAGGTTCTCTATTGTTCTATCTCAATCTAAATATAGTTCCTTAATTCCTTGAGTTTTATTTTGATGTTTCCATGTCAATTGCTTTTTGGTAATGCCATTATCTTGGTCGTTCTATGTAGGCAGTAGGGAGTATCTTTTCTAATGAAAGTTCTATCATCGAATGGCATACAGCTTGTATACCGTGTTTTCCAGACACATGCACATCCATTTGCAAGCTTCTATTCTTCTGTAATCAGTCTATTTCTAGTTTTCTACCAACAAAAAATGATTGATTGGCACATTATTGCAGGCATTTCGTGTTCTTCGAACCCTTGGTGTCACTGTTCAGATGATCTCTCAGGGTGCATCTAAGGTATCGACCCGTTAGATTCATATTTTTCCTCCGTTGTATGTGCTTTTAGGAATTATCAGCCTTCTCTTTTCGATATACAATTGAAGCTTTGCATATGTGATTGGACATTTGGCATATGTTATGCAAATTTATTAGATACATTGGCGTGTTATTGGCTGATATAGTGAGCGCAAGTGTGTTTGCATCTTCATAAACATATCTTGTGAGAAGGACTTAGGTAGGTCTGTAGTATCCAAATGTTTGACTTGAAGTAGGCACTCATTCATAGAATCAATAAACTTGGGTTTTCCTTTTATCATGTGCCTGATCGTTCCTTTTTTTCCTTCCCGGCCAGGTGAATATTTCGTTGGTAGTAAATGACAGTGAAGCTGAGCAGTGTGTGAAGGCTTTACATTCGGCCTTTTTTGAGAGTGACTTTTCTGAGTTAGAGAAAGAATATGCATTTGGAAATGGTTCTATTTCTGCATTGTCATAAGAACACTTGGGGGCTGTAATTTCTTTGTCTTGGCAATATAATTCACTCTTCAATTATATGAACCCAACATTTTCAGTCCTTCTCCCCGTGGATGGTTTGGATGTAGCTGAAATGGGGAAGTGTGTGGTGAGAAGAAAATTCTAGGTGGGAGGAATTAGGGAAGTCGGTGCTTGTTCTGAATTGTCAGAGTAGACATTTTTATTCTTTATTAGCCGTCTGCGGTAATTATTTTCTATATTGTTGGTTGGAATCTCGTGCAAGATTCAAATGTACCTCATGTCATTGATACGGATCTGAACCAATGCGGATTAGGATACTTTTTCGATCAAGTTCTTCTCTGCAGAAATCATCAGTCAAAAGTGGAGAATTCAAGTTCTCATATCAGAAATTTTGTCTGTATTAAAATGTCTTTCTTGGATATGTTATGATTATATCTGGTCATTGGGATTGATATATGTATGCAGTTTATTAGAAAATTTGGATATTTTTGCACTTAGTGATGTGATCTAGATTTTTTGGGATTGATCCTGAGATATTTACGTAAATGTTCATATTCTCCATTATTTTACACATGTCAATGGGAATTGGGAAAGTATGATAATTCCTGGAGACCCTGAGATGTTTTCCACTGTCGTGTCTGATAACAAACCGGTTAAAGCTAAAGTTTTCCAAAGTTGTTTCTTGCTATTATATTTCAACCATCTTGTACTTTCATTAATCCTTACTCAGAGTACAGGTGATCTCGTTGTTGGTCCTTTGGCTCTTGAAACTAGCGTCAGGCATGATTCGTGAACATATGATGCAGCGAGCTATGTACTTCAAAATCGTACAATGTAAATCCTGACTAAAACTAAATGATCGTTCAGGATTTTGTAAGTTCAGATTAAAGGTAAATTCACATGGGAAAAAGTGAGACGCAAGTAATTCATTTAGCGAGACAACATTAATCTCTCTATGAAAGTGCCTGGGAGTTTAAAGTCAGAAAGCAAAATTATTTATAAACGGAAACTTGATCTTTTCAACAGTCTTAAAATAAATCGAAGAAAGAGTATTTGCAGTTCCAAACAAACCAAGAATCTCAAGTGGGAGCGCGAGAAGGGTCAGTTTTCAATTTTTTTTGAGAGGAGCTCAATTAAAACATCAAATCCACTCATGAGAAGAATGTGTAAATTGGAAAATCTTCAATATAATTATGTCTTGCTTCTCCTAAAATACTATTCTAACGGGAAGAATGAAGAGGAGCCCTAAAAAAAAAAAAAAAAAGACTATTTTGTCAAAGTTGTACTTTGAACATGACATTGATTTCATTGCTTGACATACTATGAAAGTGTCCAAGAGATAGTTGCTATACTCTTCAAGTAAAGTGGGTTCACCCTGATGTTGATTCTGCTAATCGTTTATGAAAGGTTTCTTGTGGAGGTTTGATTTTTATACATGATTCTTAGGGCAATTGCATTAGGGGCTTTATAAGGTAGTTTGGTACTATTAATAGTGTTACTACAAAGTTTGAGTGGTGTTTTCGAAGGGCTCGAAATTTGAAATTCGTTGAGAAGATGGCTTTCAAAATTTGATCATTGCTGGTGATTTGGTAGAGGTGGTAAATATAGTGTTTATAGAAGAAGTTACTGGGTTCTGTTTGAAGAACATGACTGAGAGAATCAAGAAGCTCTTTGCTTTGGATTTTAACATCAAATTTGATCATATTTGTTATGAAGCCAACAAATATGCGAACCGGACTTGCTGGAGTTGCTCATAGTCTTAATCTTCAATTGTTATCCTCTACCAATCCTCTTTTAAATTGCAAAAGGTCGATAAATTTGGATAAACAAAGCGTATAAGGTCTGCTATTTTGTTCTCTTTGCAATTGTATGGTATTTCCATAACCTTTTGTTTTACAAAATTATCAACCGTTGCTTCTCTTTCTGATAAAATTCTCAAGAGTGGGGTAATTTAGTTTATTATCTAACGGATGAATTTTGCTAGGACTAGAGAGTATTTTTGGAGATTAAATTGAAAAGGTGGGTGTTTAAAATTAGCGAGAATTTCATTGCACGTCTCCAGGACCAACGTATTTGCATTAAAAATTTAAATAGAATTTGAAATAATTTTGTAGACTCAAAAGCCTCTTTTACAAGTAAGTTTTTTTTTTTTTGTTTTGGGTGAAAAAGATGAAATCATCCCTTTTTGAAATAAATGAATTTTGATTGTTATTTATGAATTTTTTATTGTAAATTTCATCTGGATAACTTATAAATTTTCTCTCATTCAACAAATATAAATCATGTGAATTATGTGAAATAAATAGACATTTTATTGTAAATAAATACATTTTGAATTTTATTTATGAATTTTTTGTTGTAAATTTCATTTAAGTAACTTATAAATATTTTTTCCTTCGTAAACCATGTGAAATATGTGAAATGAATGAATGTTTTATTATTAATAAATGAATTTTGAATGTTATTTATGAAATTTTTATTATAAATATTGTCTAAATAACTTGTAAATTTCCTCTCTTTCAAATATAAATTACATGGGTATATGAAATAAATGAACGTTTTGTTGTTAATTAATGTACTTTATTTGTTGTGTATTTCACAAGGAAAAATTCCATCTTTTTGGCAAAAAATTTAATTGCAATAGATACTTTTGAGTCTTCAAAATTATTTCAGATTTGATTAAGTTTTTAATGCAAATATATTGGTTATGAGCATTGCAGAGCAATTTTCCCTCAAAATATTATAAGGCATCCAAAATTATGTTGTGAGGTCAGAGGCTTGTAGATTTTGTATGAAACTAGTAATCTTAAAAAAATCACAACAAACTTAGAAGAAAAACATATCATAGCAAGTGAAAAAATTGTTTGATGATTGCGTTTTTAGCTACATTCCAATTATTCATCACCTTAATATTTATCTAGTGACATCTCAATTCATTACGTATGTACTATCTCAATACCAAAACCATGAAATTTTTGATCAATGATTATGATTATAAAAGTAGAGAGAAAAATATAAGACAATGAAGAGGTTCGGCATCTAAAACTTTGTGACACCACCAAAGTCCAAAATTAAGGGGACAAGCTTTCAAACTTGGGCCTGGGGACTAAATTAAAAATAATGATAATTTGTTTTTTTTTTTTTTTTTGTTTTTGTTTTTGGCTAGGATAAACTTTGGGTTCAAAGGGGTCGTTTTCGTGATTTATTGTTGTCGTTGTCATTTTAACGGGAGATTTATTATTTTTATTATCATTATCATTATCACTCTATTAAGCTGTGAAATCTATGTGGTATAAAGTCGGGTACTTTCACGAGGTTTCTCAAACCCGAATGCTCTAGGGTTTGGCAGTGTCTCCGCATAACAAAAATCATGGCTTGCACAATAGACTTTCGGTGCCTCGACGAGGGGTTTGGCGGCAAAACCTACAAGCGCAAAAGAGAGGCCCAGAGAAACGATGTCGCGGAAGCTGACAACGGAGATGCCAACGGTGCTTCCATGGACATCGACGACACTTGTCCTCCGCCAGCAAAGAGATCAGCTGTGCCGTCCGCCGATGACCCTAACAAGCCCGTGTTTGGCAAGCCTAGTTACGACGGGGTGATAGCCGGGAGGGTCTCCGGTCGTAACTGGAAGCAGCCTAGGAAGCACAGGGCATCGGCGGTTCATGTGACTCGGAAGGGCACGACATTTGAGCAGAGGGAGAAGGAGAAGCAGATGAAGAGAGCCTACAAGGAGAGGATGACGGAGTTGAAGGAAGGATTAGATTGAACAAAATTGAGAAGAGAAAGAAGAGGGAAGAGAGGGAGAAGAAGAAGCAAGAGAATATTTTGAGATCTGGTACTAAACTTCAGGTGATTTCCAATCCCAAGACGTTGAAGAAGATTGCCAAGTCCAAGCAGAGGAAGCAGCTCAAAGTTGTTCCTGATGATATGCTTAAGAAGTAGCTCTTTTCTCTAGTTGCCATAGGGAGCTACATCTATACTGTTTCTTACAAGCGAAATTTTGCCAGGATGGTGATATGGATCCTGTCATTATTTAGCAGCGATTAAAATGGTGCATTATCTGATGAAATTTTTGCTTTTAGTTTCTGTTCTTTGCTATTCTGATAATTTTATATCTAGATTGCTGTTTGGAAGTTCTATGGTGAGTTATTGGGGTTGTCCATTAGAGATTTTGTGTTTTGCTACAATGCTTCCAGCCGCTCAGAACTCTTACTATCAGTTGAAGTTCAATGCGTCTAAATATGCTATAACATCACAACCAACCTAATCTGTTGTTTTGGCCACATTTATTCTGCTTTGGGTCAGTTGGTATAGCCCCGGCCTTGCATCAAATGGGTTTAAAAGGATTTTCTGCTATTGCTAGTGGTATCAAGAGAGTGCCTTTTTAGAACGATGCCGACCAGCAGGCAGCAGTACTCAGCCGCGAACAAATTCTATTTTTAAAATGACGGAATCCACTTGGATGGTATTGGTGTGCTTCAATTAGTGCAAACACAATGGTGGTAATTCTCCGGTATTTGGAAAAATAAATTAGCCACCTTTGGATTGATTAGTTGCATGACATGTTACTTATCCTGGTGTTCTTTCAGTCTTTCTTACTAATATTGTAATGTAGTTAGAATATTGCTTAAAATGTGGTATTCTAGTGTTCCTCTGGAACTGAAAATAGGAAGTAGCTAATTTATCCGTCTCATTGATTATTAGGAGTTCGTATAGCAGCGTTTCTAAAATGGACATCTAAGCATGAGTTTGATGCCCTGATGTTCCAACTGCTTGATAAAGAAAAGAAAGCACCATGTTTTGACCAGCTGGTATGGACAAAAGAACAGAAGCACCCGTACGGATGGGGTATTAATCTTTGTTGTAGATAGATGTTCAAGAGTTTCATATCTCAATGGAGCAAGTGATCTGGAGGTCAGATGACTTGCTTTTGTGAATCTTCAAGGGTTCAATTATATATGTTAGGTTCTGATCATGGGAAATAAGCTATTAGTGTGTCCTGGATTAGGTTTAAACTTTAAATATCCCTAGACCATCCTTTATAGCTGGGGGCCTTTGAAGAGCATCTCCCTCAAGCCTCAAATGACAATGAGGGAAGCATTAAGTCAATTAAAATGAAACCCATGTTTAGTATCCCATTCCAAATCCAAGTAGTCACGTGTGAGTGCATTCACTCACCACTACCATTTTCTGTCTCTCTTTATACATCATCTTCTGCACGTGCACTAATTGAAAGTGAACTAGGCCATCAAAGCGGAAAGTAAAAGAAGCTTATAAATTTGAAGTGTATTATTTCGTTATAAAGAAAACTAAACATAGTATAGGCAGAGGTCTGTACTATATACAACCATTACTGTTACAAGCGGTTGAAATCTAGCTCAACTCGGGATGCTAGTAAGCATTTTTTATTTTTATTCTCTAGTAGACACCCCTCTGATACTCACGCTCGCAGAAAATTCCTCCAAGATCATCACAAGCCTCTCCTTGGAAAACCCTGCAAAACATATCAATATTAATTATTAGACTATAACGCCTACACGGTATTCATTCAGCAGTCAAGTACAAATTATACTTGTAATCTAATTACATAAATCTTACGTCTTCGCATCATTATACTCGAGATATTCTCTTTCAACATTCTCTGATTGTGTAGTGTCATTCCTCGGGTTGTGGCTGCAGCCTCACTTCAGGGTATATGTCAGCCGAACATGCTTCACCTCCTATAGTTTCACATGCTTCAGCAGGAAACACTCTGAATAATCAACCAAAACACAAGGCAAAGTTACATTGGGGAATAAAAAATAATAATAATAATAACGTTATTTGTTGAACCAATTGTAAACGTGAAACAGAGACTTCAGTAGAACGAAGATAAGAGAGAAGACTTGCGATGTCTGAGAACTGTAATCAACGGTGGAAGGGTCAGATGAAGCGGTCGCAGCTTTGATCGGAGAGCCACGTTTGGAAGTAAGGGAGGCTGCTACTCTGGGAGGAAAGCTGGCCACCTGGGAGATGTTCCTCGAAGGTGTCAAGGGAACAAGGTTTGGGGCAAAGGTCAGAGCTGCCTGCATTTTCGATTTCGATAAGTTTCGGTGATTTTTTTAGGGGGGGTGGGTGGTTATGAATAGCTCTGGAGAAATAGAGCTTCCAATTTATAACGAAGGCATTTTTCCGATGGAGTAAGATATTTGTGGCTCCGGATAGGTTTACTTTTTCTCTATGTGATCGTCATGCTTCCGCGGGTTCCATCGATTATGTGAGATATTTATGAAACTCTTGGACTTTTGCGGTTGATTGTATCAACTAAATAGAGAGTTATCATGCTCTGCGATGATATTTAATTTTAACGAATCCAATAAAAAGTAAACCTGGATTTGATATCTTGATGGGCCCCCCCACCCCCAAAAAAAAAGAAAAGAATTATGAATATATATTTTTTGGGCCAGAAAAGAAATATGAATGTCGATTACCGGGAAATTTCCATACTGAATTATCCGTCATGCATGGCTCATGGTGAGTTTTTTTGTGCGGCCAACTGTAAGCAGTAGAGAAATATCACCGGATGCTCATATGATACTCGCACATCGTTGGGGACCCGGATAAGTCTACAGTTATGCACAATTATGAAGACTTCTGAATTGTTATCGCTCCCGGAAGGCTAAGCGTAGAGATCAAAGATCATTTCGTCTGTCATGACTTGCGAACTAGGGAAGTTTTATCCTCAAAAGTCTCTTCCCATAATTTGATTTAGTAAATAAATAAATAAAGGTAGAACAAACGCTAGAGGGGACTTTCTGCGGCCCTTTTTTGGCTTCAAAAAAGTACTCATGCACATAAACCGGAAGGGGGGAAAAGAAAACTAATGCAGGTCACTGTAACAAACTAATCAATACATTCTGAACGATGCGGGGTAGTCTAATACATCATAATATCAAGAACTAACAAAGCAATGTCTGTTTCAGAGTTAAAACCTGAAAAGGGAGGCACAACAAAACCAATAGAATTTCTATCTTGTGATTTCTACATCATTATAGTGAATCACCAAGAATAAATCATCGAGATCAATGAAATTATGCGTGCTGACTAGCCCATGGCAGGGTTGAGATTCTTGCCATGCAATCATTACTGCACCATTTGTGGGAGAGAGAAACCGTTGATGACCTATAGCACGTATGGATCAGCCCTGAGAAGCCCATTTCATGTGAGAGACATTTGGGCATGATCGGATGATAGGAATGGACAGCATGGAGAACAGCTGTTTACGCCTCAGATTTTAAGGAGTGTCTAACACACACCAGATCTTCCAACTTATTGCCATCCATTTTATATAGAGAGACCCCTTGCATCTGGTGATAGTGATCCTGAGCTTCTTTTCTCAAGCTCTCAAAAGGCATGACTTCCCATTTACTATAATTTGAATTTCTTCTGGCATCACTCATGTCTGGAGATCCTGAGATAGGCCCAACTTTGTCTGGGTCCACATTGCCCCATACCTTGCAGCTGCCAAACTGCCCCAAATCATCAGCCCCACCTGTTTGGCTCCTCTTAATGCGCAAAGCTGCTGCATGAGCCTGGCTTATCATTTCTCGACTGGGCACATCTGACCAATCTTGCAGCCTCTCAGATCTCATGGGGGAATGGATCCTGATTACCTGACAATGAAACCCAATGTCGAAAACGGATTAACAGAAACATAGACGGTATTTATTTGAGCATATTTGTAATCAATTTAAATACCCCAAGGCATTCCAGAAGCTGGTAGTAAGCCCTTCCTTGAAGTGGATTGTGTCCCTTCCTAGGAGTAGAGAAGTATCTTGTCCTGCAATAAATATAGCGGAGGCAAAAAAAATAAGATAAGTATTCAGCACAACAATCTCGCATGCAAATAAGAAGCTGAACAAGATGAGGTGAATCAGTGGAGGAATCAATCCAATGAGAGAGGAAGACAATGACAAAGTTTAAGATATCTTATCCTCCATTGTTTTTGATAAAATTATTTTATTCAAAAGAATGGAATGAGATGCGTTAGCCAATAATAGAAGTTAGCTATAACTTGACTCAAGCTAAAATCCAGAATTCTAAGGCAGAAACCAACCATTCAGTGTATCCTGGATCAACAGTGAAACCATATATGTCTACAATATCACACATGGAGAGAGCTAACTCTACAGATTTCATTCCAGTTCCTTTAGCACCTCGACGTAGAACTATACCTTGGAAGAGATAGACTGGATTTGGAACAGTCTGTCATGAAAAGCAGCTCACATAAGTTTATTCTAGTGAACATCCAGCTCTTGGCTGTAATGAAATTTACATGCAAAGCATCACAAGACAAATAACTTTTTAAGAACCAATTTTCACCTTTATTATTGCATTGATTTCTCTGTGTGTCACACTTTTGATTATGAGTACCTCATCATCTGGGAAAAAAATCAAACTGTTATGTGCCATAATAAAAATATATAATAAAATGCAGAAATAATATCTAATAAAGTGTATCACAGCAACAGTATTCTAGTCCCCTGCCCTCTCGGGATTTTCTTGGTCTTGAACAGTTAACACCATTAAATACAGGGTAGATAAGCTAAATGCCTAGGTAAGAAAATTTTCTTCTTCTTTCTCTATGAATTATATTACCAATTACCAAGGTGCACTGCACTTGTATCTTGTGAGCTAATACGGCCCAAACTTTCATTTTCTAGTCTTCAATCAGCATTTATTTTTTTAATATTTAATGAAAAATAACTTACCAGATCCATTGAGAATAGGGACCATATTTCGAGCAGCACCCCTTACAACCAGACGAAAATCCCTCTTTAGACCAACATGCTTGGCATATTTCTACACAGTTGATAAAGAGTATAAGTTCTTGACAAATATTTTTGAATAATTAGATCCTCAATTATGGAAAGTAGAATAAATCCCACTTAATCCTAAAAAAATGGTATCTTAAAGAGATAGGGAGAAAACAATGCCTAGAACTAAGGTGCTCAGTTTCATCTATATCAAAATAGTCAAAAGCTCAACTTTGAATAGGGGAAAAAATTATCACCAAGAGAAACTTTGCTGTGTCAAAGAATAACACTTCTTCAGTGCATATGTTATTTAAGAAAAACATATATCATATGGAAATCCTTGTTGGAAAACGGAAAGGTTTACCTCATTAACTGGAGCCTCATTGTCTCGAAAAACTGCATCGTGACTATCAATTTCTTTCCCAAATTCTGTGTTTAGAAGGTCTCCAGAATTTCCAACAACAGCACAAGTGTGGAACTGCCGGGGATGGAAGGGGGGTTTTGCAGGTAATAATACATTGAGGTGTTCTTCACAGAGAGTCTTGTTATAGCACTTGTCTGTCCCCCTAGAAAAACAGAGAAAAAAGGATGGTCACAAATGCTTCCTAATGAGATAATCAAACTCAAGCCAACCAATTTAAACACGACCATGCAAGAAATGACATAAATTAACCGAAGAAATAATGCATAGAGAGTCATACAACTGAGCTATCCTTTTTGCTGCATATTCTAACCATCCATCAGGGCGAGTATCTAGATATTCTCGGGTCAAAACTGTAGTCATGTTCCGGTACTGCAATATCTTGACAAATCAGTAAGTAGCAAGCAACCTGGAACTACAATTTAAACAAGGGGGAAAGGATAACAATTCACCTGTTCCCACAATAGAATTGCATCACACACGTCATACTTGTACTCCAAAGGCTCAAAGATTTTAAACTGCTCATTGTACTGCAATTAATGCAATACAAATAATAAGCACTTGACTGTTATTGAAAAATTGAATCCAAAAGAGGAGTCAAGAAAGACAGACAAACCCAGGTGCTGTTGGTGCCTTCAGGAAACTTAAGGATCAACTTGCAGTGGTCAGTAATATGTGCAGTGAGTCCAAGCCCCCTGTTTGCCTGTTTTCAATACCAAGTTTTAAATCATCAGCACGAAGTAATTTCTCGACATTATTCTCAGCTGAAACAAATGCATTTGAGGGAATGTAACTCTAGTAAAATTCAGATCGAATATAAAACCACTCGAAAAGGGATGCAAATTAGAGAATACCCGGATTTACTCAAAGAAAGCGAAAAAGTAGCGTTAAAATCTGCAATTTTCAGGGAGGAAAAATGAAAATTTTCAAGGGAACTGCGAGCATAAATCTGTGCTTACCACACATTGCTGAACATTGGACTGAAAATCAGACAATATGCGAATTGTTGCTGAGTTTCGATCTGTGCTCAGAGACCCTGAATATGCATATTGGATATTGATAGACAAGAAAACATAATTAGGGGACGCAATAGTATCTAGTCAGCCTAGAGTTCGAATCACCAAACATTTGTCATTTACCTGAGAAGAAAGAGGATTGGATAGCGAAAACTAGAAGCGAGAAGAATGCAACAGCACACACCAGATACAGAATCGTGGGTCGCCTATTATGGCTAAAAGACGGTAATTTGTGCTGTCTCATGGGGAGTTGCGAGGAATATAGCGGACAAGAATGAGTGTGTCCAACAAGGAAGAACTGAAGACTAGCAGGCCATGAAAATCACCTCGACGACGACGATCTCGCAAAACGACACCGTCTCCCCTCTGGCCGGGCATTACGGTCTTTAACTCTAACACCGACTTTGGGTTATGTTGATAGATGCATGCGCAACGATTTACGCCATTACACGTCTTTCCGTCCGCAGACTTGCCAACGGAATTGCCCCCTTCTCTTAAAAAAAAAAAAAAAACAACAAATGAAAAAACTTAGTATATATTTAATGTGGTTACATGATTTTTGTATAAATTGTTTATTACATAATAAATTTTTATTATTAACTTAATTAACACATTAAGATTTGTTTATCATAATTTGATTGAATATAACTATATTAAGTATATAAGACTCCGTACATAAATTTTACTTAAAAACAAATTCACCCAACAAGATTCATGTCTCAAGACATTAGTACATTCCAAATATGGAATGTACCTTGTTAGAGAAGTAACATATTTCTTATTATTATGGAATGGTACTTGACTAGTGTAAATGAACATTTAAATTTTATTTGAGCTCCATCTAATAGCCCAATACTTATGGTTTTCATTCAAAATAGTATTTAATCTTTTTATGTATTGTAATTTTTTGTTATCTTGAAAATTAGTTAGATTCATACATGCTTTGCACTTGCCTTTATTAGGAACTTGTGTATTTGAAAGAATCTAACCATAAGGGGGTCGCATAATTGACCTTGAGATCTTTTGTCTATGTATCTCGAGATAATATGGATCAAAGTTAAGGCCTTCTCAATGTCACTCCTAGCCAAACATGGCCACTTTAGGATCCTTAATCCTTTGATACAAAAACCATGGATCTCTAAGCATATTAACATAGTTTACACTCATTGATCGTGATCAGATTCTTTATTATACACAAATTCTTCATAAAGGCAAGTGTAGAACGTACTTGAATCTTTATATGATGAAAAAAGATACTACTTTGTTAAGGAAAAAGAGAGATTTTAGAAGAGAGACATAAGGAAACAACCTAATTTTATTTCAACTGAGTTTAAGTCTTTTTACAACCAAAGCTCCCTCTTATAGATAAAGGGAGGAGAAAGATAATAAACACATGAATGTTATATGTGATATGTACTTGCCTACTTTTCTCAAAGCAAAAACTAACTTTATTAAAGTAAAAGCTACTTTTTTAAAAGGTTACTAGAAGCAAATTCTCACACAGGATCACATGAGATAAGGCTCCTTTATTTCATAAGCTTGTAAATGCACTATTGATCAAATGACAAATTAAAATAATTGCTTTCTTCTTTTCTAAAGTGCCATATTAAGTATTCATTTTCCTACTATGCTTCTTTTTCTTCTTGTGCTTCATATTGTTATGAAGTGAAAGAGTCCTTTGTTTTAGAAAATTGTTAATAAAATTAAAACTCTATCTCATATGGATCCTGGCTTTCTGAGGGAAAGAGTTAGGGGCCTTGAGATGATTGGGCTTCATGAGTTTTGTGTAACGTCTTAGAAATTAACCCTCGATCATCAACTTAAATTAGGGGTAATTTAAGTAAGATTTATGAGGTGTGTGATCAGAGAGGGCTAATGAATGTTTCAGTTATAATTTCATCCATAAATTTAGGTTCAAAGTGAAATTGAGTCACTTGAATATCAAAGGTGGAGAAAAGCAAGGAGAGAAGCATCTGTACTACATGCCATGGCACATGGGTGGTGTGCTACAGTGCACAATGCTAGAAAGTATGAATGACCTTCTCTATATCTAATGCCGCAGCAAAAAAAAAGGCATGATTGACTCATTTTTTGCTATAAAAAAAAAGACGTGAACAAGAGTGAAAACAAAGAGAGAGGAAATAAGAGAAAAAGAGAGAGGGGAAGGAAAGAGTTTAGATCTACTAGGGTTTGCTTTTAGAAGGAGTTTGGACCATTTTGGAGTTATTAATCATTGAAGGTAAATTCCAAGGTCCTTCTTCTCTATCTCTCTTTCACTTTCAAAATTTTTAGAGTTAGGGTTTGTGATAGAAGTAATTTTTAGTCCATATAGATTATGGGTTCAAACTCATTCACTCAAATGGAGTAAATATGAGTTATTTGAAGCATTTAAACTTAAGGGTAATGGTTTACATGTTTTGCTAGTTATGGGTACATTTACGGCAAAAAATGCCATTTACTGTGGTTGTTAGACTTGGTTAGGAAGCCATTAATGACAATATAAGAGTTTAATGAAGTTCTTGGGACTAGAGGCAATTAAAGAACCTAATGGTTAAGCTTGGAATGCTAGACATGAGAATTTTAGATTGTTTTAGATTTTGAAATAAAAGTAAAAATGGAGTGTATGTGGTAATGTTGATGAGTTTGATTAATTGTAGATTAATCGTCTGGGTATCATATGCAGCTTAGAAAGCAAGCTTGAAAGCAAGTTTATCGATGAGTAAACATTTGATCTCTTAAAGATTTGAGAAAATTGAGAGAAATCTATTCTTATATAGTTGTATGTTAATTGATTTGAAAATGGATTCATTACATGAATGATTAAAATGGTAGTCATAAATATATGCCATAATTGTGCAAGGTTTTCATCAACCTTAATCTCGCTATATTTGCGGAGTTAAAATTTGAAATGGGTTTCTATTACAAGTACATGTAGAAATGAATTGTTGACAAGTTGTTTGATAAATGTGTGAATGTGAAAATTGAGCAAAGTGGAAAATATATGTAAGTTTTGAAAGATGGAGTATTTACGAAAGCGTTTATATTACTCACATGTTTCAATTGATGTCGTAATTGAAAATGATAAGATTGTTAATTATAAATTACAAGTATGTGAAAATATGTGTGTGAGCATAGGACATTGCATGATCATTTTGCAGGAGTTCACCATGGGAAAGGAGTAGAAAATCCATATGGTATTTTATGGCTGCCTTCTGGTGCACGAAGGCTAGCCTTCTTTCACTGTTTGTTGAGGGACTGTTCCATAGTTTGTCGAGAGACTTGAACTTAGCTATCTTTACGTGTTTGTCAAGAAGACTAATTTAGGGTATACAACATCCTAGAGATTTAGGAATGGGGGAAGTCATAGTTTCAGAGTGAGTTCTCTGATATTTGGCTGAGTTATACCTCACAATTAGTGAGTTTGGGTAGTCCAGTCACACGAATAGAATCCTGATTTGTATTATAGCACACGATTCCAGTCGAAGTAAGTAAGGATGGTATAAGGCAAAATTAATCATGCATATGTTTATTCGACGTGTCACATGGTTGCTAAGTTTGTGGCAAGTCATGATAGCTGATTATGCCATTGTCATATGGTTGTCTGCGTGTGGCAATGTACATCATTGTTATCAAACAGACTGTTGTCACATGATTGTCTGTATTATGGCAACATGTCTTGTGATATGATTATGTGAAAAGAACTAAATAAAAAGTTAATGGTGTATTGCAATATATGTATATGCTATGTGTGATTCTATGAAATCAAGCATTTCACTCTCATTTATGTGTTTTTATCAATTGATATGCAACTACATAGGGTAGATATGTTTTGATTACTGAATGGTTGTACTCATCTTTCTCTTTCAATATTTTATAGGCTCTAGCTCCAGTGCAGAAAGGAAAAGGCTTCAAAGGCTTAAAATTTAGGATTCCTACTATAAAGCCTCTTATCTTCATTTATTTGTGTAATAGTTAGAATATTGTCAATTAGAATACATTTGAATATACTTGTGCTATGTTGTTGTTTATAATTTTGATTGTATTTTGGGCCTTGAAATATTATTTATGAGATTAGTAAGTGTTGGTAAGGTCAAAATACTAGTGCAAGTGTAGGAACTATTGTCATATTGCTAGAATTGAAAATGATTGATTTATGTAATGCTAAAATCTCCCCCTACTCTTTTTGTTATTAAAGGGTTGAGGAGTAAAAATTAGATATGATTGAAATTACAAGCATTTGGTGTGTTGTACAATATTTTTAAGTTCGTTAAGTATGTTTTGGGTGTTAATGATAACATTTGGCATATGTGTGGGGTTTTGAACACACTTGAGTTGTGAAAGGTGTAAAAAGTTGTGAAAATGTATTTAGGTGTTCATTTTCCTTGTGTGATAAAATTTGAAAGTAAAACTCATACCATCAGCTAGATCATAAAAAGAACTTTCTATAGACATTTAGATCGCTCCAATCAGACTTCAGACGGAGAAATGGGGCACGTCAGAAATTGTCCTAAGTTGCTATCGTTTGATAGCAAAATGCTGTTTGCAACATGCAGCAACGCATAACACAGAGAAGGACATCCTCGGTGTGTCACCTTATTTTCCACTTCTCAGTATTTTTCAATTGATTTTAAGTATTTTCACTTTTATGAGATATTCTATGCTTTTGAAACAACATTATACTCTGGTTAGAGGATTATTAAATGATCTTTAAGTAATTTAAATTATGAACTTGGGATCCCTTTTTTTCAAATTGCAAACTTGGTAATCTAAAGGGTCTTAGCCCATAATTGCCTTGATTATGGAGTTAAGGGTGGATTAGTAAGGGTAACTTTACTTGTTTACCTATGGATTTTACATTATGGAAACTTGCTCCATCCATATAGAGTATCCTTGCTGTAGAGCAATATCTGCAACCCATTATGGTAAATGGATCTCTAAAGCTAGAGGATCATCTAGGATGACAAGCTATAATGGAATTAGACCAAGTAAAATACACTTAAACTCAGGGTTATTACCTATAAAGTTGTTTTCATCACATTTTTTTTAAACTTAGTTAAAACTTCTTTTTCATGTGATGGCTAATCAAGAGAAGATTTTTATAAGTAAGTCTGACTAGTAGCATAAATGTTCCCATATTGATCTAAGTTGTATGGATGGTGGGCAATGAAAATAGAGTAAACATTTTGCTTATGTAAAGGTACTTTCCACAAGTCAAAAGCATCAATGACTTGATAAAGTTCTTTGCGCTATCGAGATAATGGTAAAAACCATTCAAAGAAATTCCAAAGGTAAGACCCTTCATTATTATCATAGAGGTAATGGTAGATGGATAAAGATGGGACATCAAATGCACATGCATACAAGACTAAGAGGGACCATATGTACCATATGGCTTCTTCTGTGATACGACCCTAAATATAGGGAATA